CCAGAAAGTTGTGACCGATTTTAATGCTTCAGTCGAAATTGAAAAGACAAACGTTTTTGTAGCAACTGTTTTCAAATAATTCATTAACATATACATCAGTGTGTTAATCACTTGGCCTGAGAAGATTGATATCAATGTTTAAATTTGAAGCTGGTGTAGTGAGAACTTACTCAACTCATAAAATAGAGCCTCAACTAGAAACCACAAGTCTGCCACCGTCTGAAATGAAAGATTCGCCTGCTAGCCCTGAGAAGCTCCTTTATTGACACAGAGTATCTTGTTTGTGTGAGTCATATACAAACAGAAACATTACCAAGACTATATAACAAAGACAAGGTTAAGTGTGGGTTCACTTGACCTGCTTCAAAACTCCAGCAACACTCAAAGTATAAAGGAAAATTTATTTTAAAACATCATCCAAATCCAAAAATCGATAATGTAAAGTTGGTATTCCTACAGTTGCAGACGCGATACCTCAAACATCTAACACAATAAAAGCCTTACCTCCCTGGTAGAGGTAATTTCCCAAAATGCTGAACTATTCTTTTAACCTCAGTGACTAGGAGCGCTCTCCTTGTTTCTGTTTCCCCTGACTCTTCTCTCTCATATATTTTCCATTACACAACTCAACCCCCCACTGTTTGCTGACACACTGTCTTTCTCAAGGGTCAGTCAATGACCTCATCAGTCTGTGACCCCAGCGTCCAAGGATATGATGTCACCGTCTACACACACACACACACACACACAGAGAAAGCTCAGCAGCCCTTGACAGCTGTCTGAGCATCTGACCAACCCCTTCGGCCTATTTAACATTTGACCTCTGCCTTTGGTAGATGTGCGTGGGGCACGCTGCGGTAAAGAGAGACACTCAGCACTTTGTACAGTGACTGAGTTTATACAGATTCCAGATGCAATGTCTGCAGCTCAAAATAGAAAATAAACAAATGTGAATTTTAAAAGAGATGAAGTATTTGAGTGAAGATCCCAAAGACCAAACATTTTCTGGATGTCTGCATTTGGTGTGTGCAGTCCGGGGTTTGGTTCTGCGCCTCGGTGGTTGTGGCTTTGTGTTTTGTGACTGTTTGGGTGTCGATGGTTTCTGGTTGTGTGGAATGTCTAGTGACGGGGTGGCATGCTGTGTTTGGCACAAAATCATGATTAGGTCATGGTAAGTAACAGGAAAGCTTCAACTGGATGCACATAACTTTAACTGGATCAATGAGGGACGTGTTAAAGGGCTCTATGTGGGCAGTCAGCTGGGCTCCTGACTCAGTTACATTTTCAAATTCTGATGTCAAATTATTTGTTTTTATTAGGGGAACAGATTGTTTCTTAATCATCCCTTTACTGTGCTCAAGGATCCCTTGTTCGTTTTTCCTCAATACCAATAGATTTTGACCAAACTATTGTCTTACAACTGGCCAAAATTGATCTCTTTATTTTCTCAACTTCCTTCGATGTATCACATTGTGCTGCGTTGGCACAGAGGCCGAACATACCTTGCAATTTGAAAAGTGGCTTTTCCCGGGTCTAAGAAGCCTCAAAACCCCTTTGTTGCAGTTGGAGAAGCTTACTGTAGAAATATACCTCCTGTTGGCTCGCCAGTTACCGACAAGCTCTCAGCCAAAGGAAAACAATGGGAACGGGAAAGAAGAGTTTTGACTGTTCAAGTGGCAGATAATGGCAGAGTGTGGATTATGGGTTCCTGTGTCTTCTCTCGCTGGCCGGCCCCTGCGGTATGTGCTAAATACAGCCTGAGACAGCCAGGCGAGCGGCCGGAGCAGAGACATGCTGATCTGACCTGAGGGCCTGAGAAGACACATTCACAAACACATCCTCACTCTCTAGCTGCTCATATTACACCTGTGCTTACTCACAGGGCTCACAGCAGGAGTTTCTCTAAAAGATTTGTTAAAGCTACACCCCCAGAACACATGAATGTGCACTAACTGACAACTGCTAGATGCCGACTTTTCTCGCTCGCTATCGTCTCTGCATCAGCAGCGTATGTCTCCGGCTGACCACTGTGGTCATGTGCACAAGCTGACAGGTCGGTTAGTCCTGCAAAGGCGACAGACACTGGCTCTGTTGCACACAAGCACTTCATCGCAGGATCATGAGATTTTAAATGTATTGAAAAAGCACTTTTTTTTAAGAAATTGACATTAAATCTGATAAAGGGGCGTCATGAGTTGTTTTGGACCTGACTTATGACTTGATGGTCATAAACTAGACATGGGACTTACTAATTCAACACATTAAATCACCTATGACGTGTAAAGTGATGACTGTGTCCTACTTGTAATATATATTAAATGTTTTACAAATTGAATTATTTAATGATCAAATATTGTAATTTCCTCCGATGTGCAGCAGCGGGGGTGCAGCTTCAGGGCTCGGTGAACTGACTCCAGCTCACTTTTACAGTTTCAGAAAGAAAACTGGAACCAGCATTACCACAGGCCAAACAAACACTTTAGAACAATGTATGAATCCCTGCACAGTCAAACCCATACACACACAGTAAATACTCTTCATCCAACAGTTTCACAGTCTTCACCATCTGCAGTGGTCTTGTATGGATTCAAACCAAACCCGTTTTAGTCACGTTAACGTGGTACATTATATCTTCATGACTCTGTGATTCTGATGTCTCTCTCTTCCTCCCCCCCTCTGTGTTTTGTGTGTTTCCACCTGACACCAGCAGGACTGCTTCACCGTGGAAGGAGAGGATCTGAAACACGACTTTGAGCGGCTGCAGCTGGCTATGGAGATGGTCGGCTTCCTCCCCGCCACACGCAAACAGTAAGATGAGCGGCGAGATTTTTACAAATTTTAAAGGATTCCAGGGCCAGCCGGTTAGAGTCAGGCTGAGAAATGTCAAGATGTCTGCACACTCTACTCGTCATATGCTGTTCTTACAACACATCTTCATTTCATTTCTTCGTTTCTGCCTCTTTGAGAGGCTTGAAGTATTTTGAAAATTCTAGTTTACTTAGATTTTTATCATGTTGTGTATCAAGGATGAACAGATGTTTTGACATCATTAAGTTAACAGGCATTAGTCAGGAAGTTTTAAAAAAAACATTAACATCTGTTTTTTGTCTACAATGGGGATGGATACAATCAACCATTCACTCCCAGGTAAAAAAAAGCTAACCCCACTACTGACAATGGGAAAGGAGTCAATTACCTTATTTAGCAAGTGTACCTGCATTTAAAATGTATATGTATACCTGCTAATTTTGGTATAAACGAGGTGTTCTTCTGTTCTTGGGTTTTTCTGTTTATTTGTCCCATTCTAACCCCTAACCCTAACTATGAAGGAATTTCTTCAAATTTGGTACAAACATTCACATGGACTCAAAAATGAACTGATTAGATATCAAATTTCTGTAGACTGAGTCCACAACTGCAATATTTATCAGATCAATCATCTTCTGGGAAATACGCAGCTTTCAACCAAATTGTTCCAGTGTGTGTGTTTGGTGTAACAAAGAAACATCACTGTCTTTTCATGCTCAGTGAGGCAGTGGGTTAGTTGCACAAAGTAACGTGAATGTATAACCAATAATGTCTTTCTTCTCTGTCAGGATTTTCTCACTGCTGTCAGCGATCCTCCATCTGGGCAACATCCGCTACAAGAAGAAGACCTACAGGGACGATTCAATCGACATCTGCAACCCAGAGGTCCTGCCCACCGTCTCAGAGCTGCTAGAGGTGAGCAGAGTTATAACACCTTTTAACCAACAGTAACTAAACCGTATTTAAGATCAGGTATGGATCCGTACAATGTTCAAATCTACATCTTTCATATGTCCATGAAGTAGTCTTTTATTTAGTTGTCATCCAGGTTTCATTGGAAATCAAGTTGAAAGCATCACATTGACATGTTTGAGTCAGAACCCTTTGTCTTGCCGACTTTATGCTGACATGCAAAACTCTAAATATTTTGAAGGATAATAAAAAATAAGGAATGGAACCAGCGTTTCAACACAGGGCTTACTTTTTTCTTATACTCACTTTGCTTTTTTGTCTCCCAAAGTTATTCCATTATACATGCCCACTGGAGAGACTTAGAACTCCACCGAAAAAAATCGCATCCATTTGAGCAAAGTTTATTTTTCAATGCTTTGTTCTCTTTGTAAACACTGTGAGAAATCTTGATTCCCATTGCCAAAATGTACTTCCCATGTGTCGATTTGACAAAAAGGCTTTTGGAGAAGCTGTGGTCTCTCAGCACACAAACACAGCTTGTGGTGACAGCAGAAGGTGAGAGGTGCTTCACGTCCCGAAGAGCCGTCCAACCATCCCTTACTTCCACAAAGTACTGTTTGTGTAGAGGCTATTTCCAGAGCCCTTGTGTTGGCGTGCTATTGCGTAGGCAAGGTTTCCCACAAAGGAAAAACTTGATCTCCCAGCACGGCCGGCATTTTTATACATCATATTCAAATTACTACAGAAACAAATCAGATTCATACAATGTCTTTTATTCTGTGACTTGTGAACAACTTTTTTCTCCTTGATTTTGAGGTGAAATACTTTTGGAAACCACTTTTTTTTTGGGATGTGTGGTCAGTGCTCATTCAGTCATGTCCTTGCTCAGACATTACAATCTGAACTTGACTTTAAAAGCAGATTAGTTTGCTCAGTGTCCGCATTAAATCTCTTCATCAAATCCAAATTAAATCAAGCCAACCCCTGATTCGGATTTGCCTTGGTACTAAGGGACAGTGTTACTTCCCAGTCCTCGGCTACAAACTGCAACGATTAACCGGAAGTGCTTGTTGAGTCGCTGACAAAACAATGTCCGACGTGTGCCAGAGACTCCTGTCAACAGCACAGTGGGGATGTTATGACTGTGAAGCCTGCCTGTAACATCCAGCCTGGTGTCGCTCTACTGTGCAGAGGTCCAGAGTGGCAGTGACGTGCAGCCACATGCTGTCCACATGCTCCGGGGGTTAGTGTTTTAAGTTCAAGGTTGTTTGGATGTCTGTTATGTGAGGGCAGCTGCTATTCGTCCCGAGGGACGTATAACTCATCTTTTAAATGAAGAAGAAGAAAGGAAGGAAAACAATGCACCTTCATGTAATAACCACAAAGAAAGAATCCAAATTAAACAGCAGGTGTTGTTACCTCTTTACTGCTGAATCCATTTTTGTAGGATGATAGAGGGATGAGGTAGCAAAGTTAGTTAGTTTCATGAGGTCTATTGAAAAGAAAGTAATTGTTTTGGTAGATAAAATTTACAATCAATTTACTATTATAATGTCTGTAAATTACTATTTTTGATGCTAGGATTATACACATGCATAGACCAGACAAGCGCCATCAAAGTTTCTTCACCTTTATGTTTTATTCATGATGTATGTTTTTAATTTAAGACCTTTTAAATAAGCAAGACTACTAAATGGCTATACTATGTTGTTGAGGTTTGCTTAATGCAGTTTTTAGTGCACCGCTAAACAAGTACTGATCGGCACAAGTGTAGATTGATGCATGAATAGGAATGAAAAGTGGCCTGGACCTCCTGTTTCCTGTGGACGTGAACCTGGAGGAGGAAGTAGAGCTCACAGTGGCTGATGTACGGCTGACACACTGGGTCCTCTGAGCTGTTGAGCTGAGTGACTTGACCCGAACCAGAAACATTCCTGTGCAAACCGGACACCAGTCCATAGAGAGTAGCTCTCTGTGAACACAAATCCCACTAAAGTCAGAATTTGTTGATGGTATTTTAACTCAAAAAACACTCAAATAATTTCAGTCCAAGGTCAGTCCAGTGCAAACGTTTAGTTCATTCATCACAAACTGACATGTGCCAAAAAGTTTTGTCATAGGTCCTGTCAGGTTTGTTTTAGTTTTCCTCAGCACCAACCAGGAAAGAATTAGGAAATGCTGGCAAAATATGTTGTGTAAGGTAATTAAATGCAGAAATGTAATAGATATAGGGCTGTATTCAAATTGCCCAGTGTTTGTCACCCTGACACATTTTACTGTAAAACCAATACAAAAACATGTTCCAAAGTTTAAGTTAAAATGAGACTTCAGCATTCTGAGTTAATCAAATCAAGGAGATATCCATTTCAAAATTCCCCCTTTTTCCCCCCCGTTCAGGGAAAAGACATTAGGCTGCAGTGTAGAAATATATTTGTTATGTCAACTTTATATAACTTTATATAACCTTTGGAAGCTGAACAACTGTCACTGATGAGAAATCTCCGAATGGTCCACCATAAAAGGATGAATGATTCCAGCAAGCAATAACTGTGTCACTGTTACCGTTGAACTGCAGGACTCAGTCCACAGAACTCGCTGCTGCACAAAGCAGGGTGGCTGCGGGACCTTAAACAGTTTTAAAATGTATTGAATTAAAAGTATTCAGTTATCTTAAATTCAAAGTGGATGAGTCTCATCGTTTTTAGACACATCACCAGCAAATGTAACAGTGAAAATGTCTCCACTCTGCCAGACTGAAGAAGAAGTATCATCATTTCCAGGATATGCACTGCGTCATTAGTCTGTCTCTGGTTAAGTTTATTCCATTTTAGCCAGTCTGCTAGCTAGTTTATGAAAATGGGGAAATACAAGTTTACAAGAAGTAGCGTGAGGGGACTAGTACTCCTGGAAGTGCTTATGAAGCAAACTGCGCTGTGTCAAAGGTTTTTTGAAAATGGTCTTAAATTTGATTTCAAGTGGTATTAAAAAGGTCTTTAAACGTCTTGAATTTAATTGGTTATAAAGACACCCTAACAACGAGCTCTTTGGTGAAAGTTGATGAGTCCCAGCTGCTGCTGCTGCAGAGCGCTGGTCGTCTGTTATTCAAATTTTATTGATATTAAAAGTATCACATGACAAATCACACCTAATTCAGCAGTGCTTCCCTGAAAGTTACAGTGTGTAGAATTTTGTGATATTTAGTGTTGAACACCCCTCACCTCACCCTCTCCTTCCAAACATGAAAAAGAAACTGTGGTAGCCTCTAATTGTCATAAAAACTCAAAGGGTGTTTAGTTCGTCCAGTCTGGACTAATGTCAAAAACATGGCGGCCTCCGTAGAGAGGGTCGCCTCCATGTAAATATAAAGTATTAAAATATAAAGGGTCTTTTCTGGGGTAAAGAAAACTACAATTCATACAATTTAGATGAAACGAACTAGTGAAAACATCATGAGGATTATTCTAAATTAAATTTCTGCCAATTGATCCCTTTCACCTAAATTTTACAAACCGGACCTTGATCAATACACAAGTCAAGTTTGAGGCGATGAGATGAACCGCTGTTGAGATTTCTGGAATTATTAAACAGATTTATTTTCAACTTGATTTGTTGTAAGATTCGACTAAGATTATATTTGCTAATATAGATTAAGACTTCCAGACGAAAAACAAAATAAATTCATTTATGGGCAGAATCACTGACCCCAAACCAGAGCCTATAAACATTTGTGTATTATGGTATTAGCGCTGTGATCATAGACGGAGTGGAAAGCCTGTTACCAAGCAACTAATACATAAAAATGTAGCGACTAAAGACCAATCACTAGGCTGCAGAATAGGCTTTGCTCTTAGTGGAAGGATTACCAGGCAGTGTGAAATGAAGTCTGATTATGCCACCCCCCCACCATCCCACAAGAGCACACACACACACACAGAGCGTCTTCTTTCTGTGTTTATGTCAAACCATTGTCAAAGTAGGCAACTGACACAAAAAGATTCATAATGGTATAACAATTAACATCCTTACCTTTATGAAGACCTCACGCGGTCGCACAAACAGACTCACATGCACACCCACACACCCACACACCCACAATACACGTGGTCTCAGCAGCAGCTGTTCGGCCCACTCCCATAATCCCTGTTGCTGGAGGAGACGTGTGCAGTGACATCTGCTTCTCGCAGTGTTGCCCTCTCATCAATGGTTCTACCAGACTGTTGTTCCATGGTATGCCATCAAACTGTCAAAATAAAGGTACTAGATATAATTTATAAATGCAGCGAAATGGTTCTCACATCCTTCTAACAGCGTGGTGAGCTGCAGGTCTCTCGATAACACTGGTGTGTCTCTGTGTCCAGTGACCCTGATCCCACTCGTCCCTGACCTTGTCTCTGATTTGTTTTTTTCTTCAGGTGAAGGAGGAGATGCTGCTCGAAGCGCTGACGACCAGGAAAACTGTCACTGTCGGAGAGAGGCTCATCGTGCCCTACAAACTTGCTGAGGTGACCATTTTGTAAACACACCATCCACACAGAGCAACAAGCCATGACTCCCATACACAGACTTGATCTGACTGTCTTCTTCAACCAATGACCTACTGCAGGTAATTCCTCTGTGTCAGGATGGGAATTACCACACAAAACCTAGATGATGCTATAAGGCGGACATACAGTGAGTGGAATTGCGCAACTTATTTTAGAGTCGTACTGATTTTCAGCTTCATCGTGCATCGTTCGTTGTACAATGTACAGGGGCATGTGAAGAATTTCAGATATGTCCGAAATTTTGGTAGGTTGTCCTCAAGCTCTCACACAGTTGTAGCATAATCATGAGACGCGAAATGACAGAACACAACAGAACTAACTGTCGTTTAAGGCTGGGAGCAATTAATCGACTGCACAGGAAGAAGATATGAGGTAGATGAAGGTAATTTTACAGTACAGTAATCAGAGTGTAGCCAGTTATCAGTGTTCAGTATAGTAGGCTTGAATGTGTCTTTCTTTCTTTCTGCAAAATAGCCACTTGCGCGTCCATATGACTCAGATCATATGAGACAGGTCTCCCTCGTTAGCATTGATGGCAAACATACTTCAACTTCTTTGACAAAAACACAGGAGGAGCTGGTCCAGAGGAGCTGACGTCACGTTCAGTGTGAGCACATCAATCACGTTTGGCTTCACATCACAGACGATTTACTCACTGTGAGATGGAATTTAACAACATTACTAAAGTAGCACAGTGTACACATAAGGTCATCAGATAACTGCTTCCTTGCTACCAATGGTGTGGTGTGTTGTGGAGGTGGGGCTGGAGTAAATTCCAAGTCGTCTTTGGAAAGAATTGTGGAGCTGAACGTTTTGTTATGAAGTGCGTCATCTCCGGGGGAGATTCTGTGAGTGTTTGTGTGCCTGTACAAGCTTTGGAGCCTGTCTGGGGAGTTTGTTGTGGCACTCCCCCGGCCTCCACCTCTTCTGTCTGAGGCTCTTTTGATAGAGGTCTCTTCCTCTGCAGCTTCCTGTTTCCTGTCGAGTCGGGCAGCAGCAAACACGACTTAACCCTGTCCACTCAGCCCTGTGGACTTACAGTCTGCTGAAATGTACCTCCGGGATGCCTCTGCTGAGGCTCCTCTGATGTGTATCATAATATCTGTCCTTGATATTCAGTGGGTTCTGTTTATCCCTCCGTCTCTCTGCTAGTTGCTGCAGGGTCTTTTGTCTGAGGAAGGAAGTGCTACACTTAGATAGTCTGTTACTCTACTCTGCTCCACCCTCCCCATCTGATCTATGGGTTAGTTTAGCCCAACAATGGTAGCTCCCGCTCCCCCACACCCCCATCCCTGCAGTCATGTGGTCTTGTCTCAGGAATTTGCAACCTCCACTGGAATATACAGGACATAGGCCAGAAACCAGATCCTACATCTGACTGTTTGTCTCTGTCTCTCTTTCTGTGTCTCTCTGTCTGTCTCTATCTGTCTGTCTGTCTGTCTGTCTGTCTGTCTGTCTCTATCTGTCTGTCTGTCTGTCTGTCTGTCTCTATCTGTCTGTCTGTCTGTCTGTCTGTCTGTCTGTCTCTCTCTCTCTCAAACACATACATCAACTTTTTTTTGTGCATGACTCTATAACATAGGCTGATTAGAAACTTAAACCTGATTGGGGGGGGGGGGTCTGCAGCTTTGACAAATCCTGTCCTGCAGCTCCTGGTGTCATGTTATGAAAGTTCTCTTCTGTCCTTCTAGAGTTGGCCTTATCTTGAAAGGACTGAGACATTAATGGAGATTCAGTAAAGATTTGCAATTTTAAAGTAACTTGACCACACTTTGCTTGATATAGCTATGAGGACAGGTTTTAAATTGCATTCTGTTCTATTTCGATTCTTTGTCTTAGTTTGACTATGTGAACCTGTTGAAACCCATTGATTTATTGGTTTAGAAAACATAAACATAGATAAAACAAAAACTATTTTATTTGTTCAAAAGATAATTCCATTGGGGCACCTTAAAGGCGTGATGGGGCTTTGACATTAGAATAAGCCGACAAGTACAAAAGCACAATTGTTGCCTTTCTCAGCCACTGCCCCAAACCTTAACCACCTTAACTACAAGTCTAACTGTAACTTAAACCTAATTCAAACCTTTACTATCAACGAGCCGTATAAAGAAGTGAAGACTGACCAAAATGTCCTCACTGAAATTGGTCCGTACAAAAACAGAAGTACAACAGGACACACACACACACACACACACACACAC